AGAAATAGTTACACAGTTGGTGGTACAAGAGGTCAGAAGGTCTAAAGTCTTTTACAGTTTCACATTCAACAATATAGTGTTCTAGTGAATGTATTAAAGGTTTATCACAGAGTTTACAATCTGAGTATTCTGGTAGTGGCTCAGCCTCACTAACTTGCCAGATGTGTCTATAGCCAAGGCGAATTCGTGCAATGACTACATCACATTGCCTGGTCCAGTTACTGTGCTGACCATACAAATACCTATTATTACAAAACTTGTCATAACTTTTAATACTGCAGCTTTCAAGTCTCTGGGCATTTCTTAGTTCTTCTAAATCTGAATTAATTTCTTTAATTTGTATGTTTCTTATAATTGCATTAGATAGTCCAAAGTCATAATCAATGTTTTCTTTCCTGCAAGCCTCATTGGCCAATCTATCTACAAAGTCATGTTTTCCAACTCCAACATGAAATGGGATCCACACAAATTTTATACAATAGTTAATATAATTGACAAAAATTACATTCCATTTAATATTACAAGCTACTGCCGACATACAGTGTGATGGGTTATTTAAGGACTGCAGAGCACTTTTAGAGTCACAGAAAATTTAAGGTACACAGTTGCTAGATGAATACCCAATAGCTCAGTCTGTGTCGTGCTTGCCCAGACGCTCAGTCTCTGTGTACTAGACATGATCATTTCATTCCCTTTATATACTGCACATGCACAACCTGTTCTACCAGTGCCTAACTGCACAGAGCCATCAGTAAAGGCATAGGATTCAGTCGGTTTGAGATTTTGAAGATGACTGTCAATAGCTTCTGTTATACATCTCATAGTTTCAGTGCTATACATTTGTTTTACACTGATGGGGGGAATAATGCAAAGAGACCTGCACATCTTTCCAAGGGGGAATATAGGGAACATTTTTATCAGGATTAAGAGACATTCAGTTTCAGAAGATTATAAGCACAATAACTGAGCCACACACTGTAAGGAGCTTTTTGCGGCGGATTGAGGGAACAGTCAAATTTTTTTAGAATGGATCTCAATTTAATTTGAATAGAGCTGGGGAGACCATTATTTTTCAAAGTTATGGCGCAAAACATAGTACTAAGTAGAACTATTCTTTCGTAAATGAAAAGTAATTTTAGTTCCTTACTCATGTTAACAATTCTGACAGTTCTAGGACAACCAAGGATGATGCGCATGGCATCATTCTGCGATATATCTAGGCCTTGTAATTGTTTAGGAGAAAAATTAAGAAGATGCAAGGCATAATAATCAACAACAGATCGTATAAAGGCAATATAAAAACTATGAGCATATTTTATGTTAATGCCAAATCTTATGGAATCGATGTCTTTGGTCTCCTCTCTCCGTTTCCCATCTTCATTACTTTACAATTGTTAGATTGAATTCCAGCAACCATTTGTTTGACCACTCCTGGAATTTTATCTAGGTCCTTCTGTAACTTCCTGTAGTCATCCTGTTTTTACATTACTCATCAACCTTGTGTCGTCTGCAAACACTGACATGTCTGAGCTCACTCCCTCGGGTAGGTCGCTCACATAAATTAGTAACAGCAGTTGTCCCAGGACCAAGCCTTGTGGGACTCTACTTGTTATATTCAACCAGCTTGAAGCCTACTCTCGGATTATGACTCTTTGTTTTCTGTCCTCCAGGTACTCCCTTACCCAGTTCGTGTTTTCCAGTTATCCCAGCCTGCCTCTCCATCTTGTACCCCAGTCTTTTATGAGGAACAGTGTCAAATGCTTTTTGACCATCTAGCAAACTACAGTCTAACCAGCCTTCTTTTTTCCTGTCTTATTTTAATAACCCTGTCATAGAACTCAGTCGAGTTTTTCAGTCATGATTTTTCCTTTCAAATCCAAGCTGCCATTTTGTCACATAGTCGGTCTTCTCCAATTGCTCTACGATATTTTACATGATTTCTTTTTCAAGCACTTTGTTCAGAATACATGTCAATGGCACTGGTCTGTAATGTAAAGCCTCCTTTCTATCTCCTTTTTTGAAAACTGGGACTACATCTGCTATTTTCCAGATTTCTGGAAGATTTTCTGTCTCAATCATTTTATTAAAAATGTTAGATAATGGATGATAAAGTATTTCTGCAGCCTCCTTCAGCAGCCATGGTGAGATTAGATATTGCTCTATTCCTTTTATCGCATATAGTTTCTCCCAACCTTTTCTTACCTCATCTACAGTAACTACAATGTCATCCATTGTTTCTTCCGGCCTTTCATCTCACAACCTTGGTATCTACACTGGTTCTACTGTGTGGACTAGATCCTTTGTTGATTTAGGTTTAGCTCTAAATATTTTGTTGTGTTCTTCTCATACCTCATTATCATTTTCTGTGAGAATTCCCCCTTGTCTCCCTAATCTGAGTATATAGCCTTGCACTGTTATTTTTCTCCTTATATGGCTATAGAACAGCTTTAGGTAGTCCTTAATTATTGCAGCAATGTCATTTTCAAATTGCCTCTCGGCTTCTCTCCTAACTTCGGTGTATACATTTCTGGTTCTCTTTAATGCCTCTCTATTGTCCCCTATTCCTGGTTCTCTTTATTTTGTTGAGGATTTTCGTCCTTTCATTAGCTTGAAGGCAATATTTACACATTTGTTGAGCGTTTGTTATAAAGCTGTCTCTGATAAGAAATCAGATACTGGAAGGGGTCTGATGCTCTTGAGAACCGGACAAATCCCTTCACAAAAGATGAGAAGCTGGAGATGATCACTGGTCATGTAGGAAACCAGAGGCTGATGTGAAGATACTATTGCCAGACAGAGGTCCAGAGTTGATGCAGCTCTCATGTGAGGATCTCCCCAACTCTCCAGACCTAGGGACATAAGGAGAGAAATGGGTCTCTGGGCCACTGAGGGGCAATATGACTGCTGGTTATCATGCGGCATGACAAGCGTTGAAGTCGTCCATCATAAGAGTCGGGGAAGCAGAGGTCAAGGGACGGGAAATTGCTGGAGGTAATGCTAAAATTTCATGTGGTCAAAGCGGAGATCTTCACTAGAGACTGAATCTCGGAGCAGGTTGACACGCCCACTACCACACATCGTCAGCCAGTCTTGGTAGATTCCATACATTGACCGAAAGGAACCACCAGGGCAACAGCCCATGTTTCGCAGAGGCCAACGCTCAAGGAAAGCCTCTCCCAGCCATTTCGCTTGAGTTGTCTGCAGCACGGAACGCGCGTTAACAAGCTTAAAAAGTTGCTTTGGAGTACGAGACATTACAGACTTAAGAGGGAGAGCACCTGTGCGAATTCTCTGTCTTCCTGGAGGCCGACTTCCTTGTCCAGGGGGAGCTTACATAACGTTTCCCTTTCGTAGTCAAAGTTTTCTGGCACGGGATCGGTCGAGGCTCCGGAACTTCGCCACTTGCGACCAGCAACTGGGTTGGGGGCGGGTCAGAGACACTCGAGCATTTCATCCTTATTGAAGTAGTAATTCAGGCTTCACAATGTTTATAACAATGTTTATAACATTGAGAAGGTATAAATGTTATTGGTAAATGTAGGGCAAAACATTAATTACTTTGAATATAATAATGTGCTTCATATAAATTACAAAAAAATATAATGGCTCATTAAGTTTTGCACTCCAATATATTGGTCTAGGTGAGGTCTACCTAGACGGTGGACCTATATTTACATATTTACCTATATATTTACCTTTATGGACGGTGGTTAAGGATTTAGTCTATTATTTAGTATTTAAAATTTGTGCACATCATATGGGTAAGCTATTTCAAAGAACAATGTAAACAGTATTGGAATGCAGCAAATATTAAATAAAAGAATTTCCTAATTATGAGTCATTGACTCAGTCTTCAGTATTTAATGTGCCATGAATTATTTAATATTTAGGCTTACAGTTTATAATATAATTGATAACTTTAATTGTGGGTGAAATATATATATATTAGTAAACAGAATAGGTATGGAAAAACACATTGCTGCAGGCATGCGTCGGCTTCTCTTAGTTTAAATGAATAAAAGTAATATTGATTTATTAAGTATTTAATAATAAATTGCTATGCTAACTTTAGCCTTTTCATAAATACATATTTAATACGTGTAATACACACACAGAGCACACATTGCAGGCGGGACGGGATCCCTCGACTAAAGTATTTTCTGTTCCCGGTTGTGTAATCGAGAAAATGTGACTTATGTACGGTTTACGTAACGGAAGGAGGGGTCCGGAGGTGTCCTGACGTTAAGTGGTGGTCATAAGAAGGGCGGTCTTCATAAATGGTTTCTCAAGTTGGGACGTAACTACGAAAAAAGACGATAAGAAGGATAAGTTTCCTAAAGAATTAGCGCAACTGCTACATGAATCCTGCCCAAGGTTTTCTTTGTTTAATTATGATTCACATTTGTTTTAAAAGGATTAATATTATTTTCTGAAAATTTTAATATTCAGTTCTGTGATAAGCTTCATAACCAAACTTCATGACAATATGACACGAGTTTAACTCATGAAAGATTAAAGAATCAATGCTCAGGGTGGAGTCTATAGACATTCAGGACCATTTTCTAGTACGGAACAGAGATTCTTTTATTCAGAAATATAATCAAAGATGGCAATGCTAATGAGATATTTCACACATGCCTGGTTCAGTTCCTTTCTTATTTCTCTCTTATCACAACTTGGCGGTGTGGCTGGAGCATGTAAGGAACATTCTGCTACTCCCACAGAGTGTAAGCTGAAGACTATTTAAGGAACATTCTGCTCCTCCCACAGAGTGTAAGCTGAAGACCATTTAAGGAACATTCTGCTCCTCCCACAGAGTGTAAGCTGAAGACCATTTAAGGAACATTCTGCTCCTCCCACAGAGTGTAAGCTGAAGACCATTTAAGGAACATTCTACTCCTCCCACAGAGTGTAAGCTGAAGACCATTTAAGGAACATTCTGCTCCTCCCACAGAGTGTAAGCTGAAGACCATTTAAGGAACATTCTGCTCCTCCCACAGAGTGTAAGCTGAAGAAAAAGTGCCAGAAGCTTGGAGGTTCCTGCCGGAAGCGGTGTTCAGCGGGCGAGACCACGGTGAAGAACGGCTGTAGAGGACGCAAGTGCAAGTGTTGTGTGACGAAAGGTAAGTGCAAGTGTTGTGTAGTGGACGGTAAGTGCAAGTGTTGTGTAGTGGACGGTAACTGGAAATTTTGTATGGTGGACGGTCACTGCAAGTGTTGTGTGGTGGACGGTCACTGCAAGTGTTGTGTGGTGGACGGTCACTGCAAGTGTTGTGTGGTGGACGGTCACTGCAAGTGTTGTGTGGTGGACGGTCACTGCAAGTGTTGTGTGGTGGACGGTCACTGCAAGTGTTGTGTGGTGGACGGTCACTGCAAGTGTTGTGTGGTGGACGGTCACTGCAAGGGTTGTGTGGTGGACGGTCACTGCAAGTGTTGTGTGGTGGACGGTCACTGCAAGTGTTGTGCGGTGGACGGTCACTGCAAGGGTTGTGTGGTGGACGGTCACTGCAAGTGTTGTGTGGTGGACGGTCACTGCAAGGGTTGTGTGGTGGACGGTCACTGCAAGGGTTGTGTGGTGGACGGTCACTGCAAGTGTTGTGTGGTGGACGGTCACTGCAAGGGTTGTGTGGTGGACGGTCACTGCAAGGGTTGTGTGGTGGACGGTCACTGCAAGGGTTGTGTGGTGGACGGTCACTGCAAGTGTTGTGTGGTGTGTAAGGCATTCTGACTCGTGAAAGTTTATTTAATTTATTTTAACTATTAATCAATTGAATTCTAATTTATAATGTAAATTTGATTTATTTATTATTTCTTACGATAGCTTACCGGACTGTATGTTTTATTGTGTGGACTGTATGAATTAAAATTCTCCCACAAGTCATATCCCTATCCAAGTTTAGATTTTTTATGTAATTGTAGCCTATTAATCTAAAATTATTGATTGACAGGAAAATGTATACTAATTGTTAATACTACTGGGGTTAGTTTAAATGTTTGATAGTCTTATCTGATTAGAAGACTTCTATTTGAGTATTAGTGGGACACGTGAACAATCAGCCAGGCATGGGCCTCATGGCTATGGCGTCGTCGATACGTCCTCACGTGATGTAACAAGTAGAAGTCGCCAATTTCTTCAGGTTGCCACAGAAGATCTGCCAGAATGATCCAATATTACTACTGCAAATAACTTCCTAATCAGAGATATGGCATATTAATATTTGATACGTGATTGTAAGAGGCTCACGAGATTTTGGTGATTGCCCGCCTCCTCACCGGTTGGTATACTTATATTAAAGAGCTCAATAATAATAGAGAATATGTTTATACAACCGGAACGAGGTACTCCCGTTATTTTGAGGTAGCAGCAGAAGAACGTGCAAGTGTTGTGTGGTGGACGGTAAGTGCAAGTGTTGTGTGGTGGACGGTAAGTGCAAATGTTGTGTGGTGGACGGTAAGTGCAAGTGTTGTGTAGTCGACGGTAAGTGCAAGTGTTGTGTAGTCGACGGTAAGTGCAAATGTTGTGTGGTGGACGGTAAGTGCAAGTGTTGTGTAGTCGACGGTAAGTGCAAGTGTTGTGTGAGGAAAGGTAAGTGCAAGTGTTGTGAGGTGGACGGTAAGTGCAAGTGTTGTGTGGTGGACGGTAAGTGCAAGTGTTGTGTGGTGGACGGTAAGTGCAAGTGTTGTGTGGTGGACGGTAAGTGCAAGTGATGTGAGGTGGACAGTAAGTGCAAGTGTTGTGAGGTGGACGGTAAGTGCAAGTGTTGTGAGGTGGACGGTAAGTGCAAGTGTTGTGAGGTGGACAGTAAGTGCAAGTGTTGTGAGGTGGACGGTAAGTGCAAGTGTTGTGAGGTGGACAGTAAGTGCAAGTGTTGTGAGGTGGACAGTAAGTGCAAGTGTTGTGAGGTGGACAGTAAGTGCAAGTGTTGTGAGGTGGACAGTAAGTGCAAGTGTTGTGAGGTGGACAGTAAGTGCAAGTGTTGTGAGGTGGACAGTAAGTGCAAGTGTTGTGAGGTGGACAGTAAGTGCAAGTGTTGTGAGGTGAACAGTAAGTGCAAGTGTTGTGAGGTGCACGGTAAGTGCAAGTGTTGTGGGGTGGACCGTAAGTGCAAGTGTTGTGTGGTGGACGGTAAGTGCAAGTGTTGTGGGGTGGACGGTAAGTGCAAGTGTTGTGTGGTGGACGGTAAGTGCAAGTGTTGTGTGGTGGACGGTAAGTGCAAGTGTTGTGTGGTGGACGGTAAGTGCAAGTGTTGTGTGGTGGACGGTAAGTGCAAGTGTTGTGAGGTGGACGGTAAGTGCAAGTGTTGTGAGGTGGACGGTAAGTGCAAGTGTTGTGTGGTGGACGGTAAGTGCAAGTGTTGTGAGGTGTACGGTAAGTGCAAGTGTTGTGAGGTGGACGGTAAGTGCAAGTGTTGTGAGGTGGACGGTAAGTGCAAGTGTTGTGAGGTGGACGGTAAGTGCAAGTGTTGTGAGGTGGACGGTAAGTGCAAGTATTGTGAGGTGGACGGTAAGTGCAAGTGTTGTGAGGTGGACGGTATGCACAAGTGTTGTGTGGTGGACGGTAAGTGCAAGTGTTGTGAGGTGGACGGTATGCACAAGTGTTGTGTGATGGACGGTAAGTGCAAGTGTTGTGAGGTGGACGGTAAGTGCAAGTGTTGTAAGGTGGACGGTAAGTGCAAGTGTTGTGAGGTGGACGGTAAGTGCAAGTGTTGTGAGGTGGACGGTAAGTGCAAGTGTTGTGAGGTGGACGGTATGCACAAGTGTTGTGTGGTGGACGGTAAGTGCAAGTGTTGTGAGGTGGACGGTATGCACAAGTGTTGTGTGATGGACGGTAAGTGCAAGTGTTGTAAGGTGGACAGTAAGTGCAAGTGTTGTGAGGTGGACAGTAAGTGCAAGTGTTGTGAGGTGGACAGTAAGTGCAAGTGTTGCAAGGTGGACAGTATGTGCAAGTGTTGTGAGGTGAACGGTAAGTGCAAGTGTTGTGAGGTGGATGGTAAGTGCAAGTGTTGTGGGGTGGACGGTAAGTGCAAGTGTTGTGTAGTGGACAGTAAGTGCAAGTGTTGTGTGGTGGACGGTAAGTGCAAGTGTTGTGTGGTGGATGGTAAGTGCAAGTGTTGTAAGGTGGACAGTATGTGCAAGTGTTGTGAGGTGAACGGTAAGTGCAAGTGTTGTGAGGTGGATGGTAAGTGCAAGTGTTGTGTAGTGGACAGTAAGTGCAAGTGTTGTGAGGTGGACAGTAAGTGCAAGTGTTGTGAGGTGGACAGTAAGTGCAAGTGTTGTGAGGTGTGCTGGGACACTCTGGACCAGGCTGGGTACACCACAATGTTCTTGATCACAATGAATCACTCCTTTGTGTACCAACAAGTTTACTGAGCTGTTTCACATCACAACACAAATTATTTCCTTATAAGGTAAGTTTACACTCAGAAAAGTTCTGGAAAAATACGGGTTTGGTAATATGGTTCCAGTAGGCCTAACTGGTATATTCCCCCGATTTGTCCATTAGGCCTAATTATAGCCTCCAACAATGGGACCAGTTGGTGTAATATATATTTGCCTTGCATGGAGGGGGGGGTCCTATAGGCCTAACTTAGGCCCACCTCACACAAGACAGTAGGCCTAATCAGAAATCGCCTTGCTTACCCAAGTAGGCGTTGACGTGAAGTCTTCCTTTTGTTGTTATTACATCAAAAAAAATTTATGTAATAATTTTGTTTCCATTCTTAAACTTGTATTATGAGACAACACCAATGAAATGTTTCACCTATGTCCATATATTCCTCTCTTATAACAACTTGGCGGTGAGCATTTAAGGAACATTCTGCTCCTCCCACAGAGTGTAAGCTGAAGACCATTTAAGGAACATTCTGCTCCTCCCACAGAGTGTAAGCTGAAGAAAAAGTGCCAGAAGCTTGGAGGTTCCTGCCGGAAGCGGTGTTCAGCGGGCGAGACCACGGTGAAGAACGGCTGTAGTGGACGCAAGTGCAAGTGTTGTGTGACGAAAGGTAAGTGCAAGCTGGTGTGGTGGACGGTAAGTGCAAGTGTTGTGAGGTGGACGGTAAATGCAAGTGTTGTGTGGTGGACGGTAAGTGCAAGTGTTGTGTGGTGGACGATAAGTGCAAGTGTTGTGTGGTGGACGGTAAGTGCAAGTGTTGTGTGGTGGACGGTAAGTGCAAGTGTTGTGTGGTGGACGGTAAGTGCAAGTGTTGTGTGGTGGACGGTAACTGCAAGTGTTGTGTGGTGGACGGTAAGTGCAAGTGTTGTGTGGTGGACGGTAAGTGCAAGTGTTGTGTGGTGGACGGTAAGTGCAAGTGTTGTGTGGTGGACGGTAAGTGCAAGTGTTGTGTGGTGGACGGTAACTGCAAGTGTTGTGTGGTGGACGGTAAGTGCAAGTGTTGTGTGGTGGACGATAAGTGCAAGTGTTGTGTGGTGGACGATAAGTGCAAGTGTTGTGTGGTGGACGATAAGTGCAAGTGTTGTGTGGTGGACGATAAGTGCAAGTGTTGTGTGGTGGACGGTAAGTGCAAGTGTTGTGTGGTGGACGATAAGTGCAAGTGTTGTGTGGTGGACGATAAGTGCAAGTGTTGTGTGGTGGACGATAAGTGCAAGTGTTGTGTGGTGGACGATAAGTGCAAGTGTTGTGTGGTGGACGGTATGTAAGTATCAAAAGAAAGCACCAAACTGGGAAGGCTACGTAGCACCATCAAATGTGCGGGATAATCAGAGGGCGCTAAATATCACTTAGGTTGCCAATACGGGAACAAAGGCGCATAGGGCGAACGATATCAAAGGTATCCGATTCACCAAGAATTCTATCGAGGGAAAAGTGACCGCGAAGGACGGTCAGGAAGCAAGACACACGCTCGTCCTGGAAGTCAGGACATTCAGTAAAGATATGCGCGACTGTAAGAGGGAAAATACAGTTAGGACAATAAGGAGCAGGGCGGCGCTCCATTAAGTGCCAGTGAGTTAAGCGTGTATGGTCAATACGTAACCTCGCCAAAGCGTTTCCAACCGCCGAATACGGTGATAGGAGGAAGGCCACGGGGGACACACTACTCTTAAGACTACGCAGTTTTTACCAGCAACACAAGACCAACGACCCTGCCAACGGGCAAGGATTGAGGCATGAATAACCGGGTAGAATTGGGAATTAGGAACACCTTTATGGGAGATAAGACAAGTGTGGGTAGCCTCCTTAGCGGCAGCGTCCGCATGCTCATTTAAGGACACACCAATATGGCTGGGAACCCAGCAAAACTGCACTGTCTTAAACCTCCTGGAGATAAGAAACAACCAATGTTCAATTTCGATTACCACAGGATGGACAGGATAAGAGGACTCTAGAGCCATGAGGGCACTGCGAGAGTCAACTACAGCAACAAAAAAAATTGACAGCGAAAAAGCAGTTTACGAAGAGCATACAAAAATTGCATAAAGTTTTGCCGTGAAGATGCTAGTCTTTAGAGGCAGGGGACACATATAAGTATGGTCAGGAAAAACGAAAGAGTAGCCTACACCGTCTGCAGACTTAGACCCATCGGTGAAGACGGAAATGAAACAAGAGTGTGAAGAAAAGTGTTCAAGGAAAAGGCGTTTCAGAACTGTAGGAGGGTGAAAAGCTTTAGTCACGTGGGCCAAAGTTTTACAAAACTTTGGAAGGGGGACCCTCCATGGGGACAAGGATGGACGACACGAGGAGAAATATTAGTAACAACGAACCTAGAGAGAATCTTGCAAGCGAGACAACCATACAGAAAAAGGTAGGTGGTGAAAAGGAACAGGGACCACAGGTGGGGTAACGGTCAAAGTGCGACATAAGCGAGACTGAGGGTGTTGTAGCGACCGTGTAAGGTAGCGAAGACAGTAGCATCACGGCGATCCTGTAGAAACAGAATGGCAGTTTCAACGTACAGGCTTAGGGTAGGAGTCGATCGAAAGGCAGCTGAGCTGAGACATAACCCAGTATGGTGGAGAGCATCAAGACGGCGAAGAGTAGAAGGAGAAGCAGACGAGTAAGCAGGGCAACCATAATTCTGTTTAGACAGGACGAGAGAGGAATGTAAAGAGAGGAGCGTACGCTTATCAGCTCCCCAGCAAGTATGGGAGAAAATCTTAAGTAGGTTAAGGGCCTTAGAGCATTTAACTCGGAGGTAAGAGATATGGGTTGACCAAGACAAACGAGTGTCAAAGTTTAACCCCAAAGGCTTAGCATAATCTTTGTACAAAAGGGGATGGCCATAAAGTGACAAAGGTGGGACGAAGAACTACCTGCTTCCGTGTAAAAATCATAGCACAAGTTTTGTTGTAGAGAACTTGAAGCCATGATATAGACCTATAAAATTATGAACAGAGTTTGCTTCCACAACCTACTCCTTTAGTTCACTCCATTTTCCCACTACTCTTACGCTAAATGGAAACTTTATAATATCGTTGACTCATCCGAGTCTGAAGCTTCCACCCATGTCCCCATATTCTGTTCATGTTCAATGTGAACATTTTGTCTATTTCCACTCAATTCCCTTAATTATTTTATATGTCTCTATCATATCTCCCTGCTTCTTCCTTTTTTTCTATCGTCGTCAGGTTCAGTTCATTCAGTCGTTCTTCATACTCCATCCCTCGCAATTCTGGGACAAACCTAGTCGTAAACTTCTGAACTTTTCCAGTTTCCTTCTGTATTTTTTCAGGTGAGAACGCCATGGAGGGGCTGCATACTCTAAGGCTGGTCTCACATAGGCAGTGTAAAGCGATCTAAATGCCTCCTTACTTACATTCCTAAATGTTCTAACTTTTGCAGCGTAGAGTACGCTGCTGTCGTTATCCTATTTATATATGACTCAGGAGTTAGAATAGGTGTTACATTCACTCCGAGGTCTCTTTCTCAAGTCATCACAGGTAAATAGTTTCCTTTCATTTTGTATTGTCCCTTTGGTCACCTGTCACCTAGTCATATTTCCATCACTTTACACTTGCTCGTGTTGAACTCCAGTAGCAAATACTCGACCATCTCTGCAACTTGTTCAAATCCTCTTGGAGGATCCTATAATCTTCATCTGTCACAACTCGTCTCATTACTTTCGCATCATCCGCAAACATTGACATACAAGACTCAACTACTATAAACATGTCATTTACTCTGAGGTACTCCACTTCTTACTGTTCGCCAGTGTGACTTGTCGCCCTTACTCTCACTCTTACTCTGGCTTCTGCCTGTTAGGTAATTCTTTACCCATGTTAGGGCTTTTCCACTTACTCCTGTCACGCTAGGAATTTGCAACTTCTGCTGATGTAGATCTAACTAAATGTTAACTCTGTCAGCAGAACTATTCGCATACATTGCGTCACTATATAATGGAATGTGAAAAACCGCGGAATTCAGAGATGACACCATCAATGGAGTCCAAGAAATGTGTAAGTTCATTCATAATGATGTACTGCCGGGAAACTTAGCCAAATATCCAAAATTTAATGACAGTAGATAATGCTGCACAGGACTGTAAAGCTGCCGCCCAGTTGGGTGGGTGTGGCGCACATGACTGTAAAGTTGTCGCCCAGTTGGGTGGGTGTGGAGCACATGACTGTAAAGCTGCCGCCCAGTTGGGTGGGTGTGGAGCACATGACTGTAAAGCTGCCGCCCAGTTGGGTGGGTGTGGAGCACATGACTGTAAAGCTGCCGCCCAGTTGGGTGGGTATGGAGCACATGACTGTAAAGCTGCTGCCCAGTTGGGTGGGTATGGAGCACATGACTGTAAAGCTGCTACCCAGTTGGGTGGGTGTGGAGCACATGACTGTAAAGCTGCCGCCCAGTTGGTTGGGTGTGGCGCACATGACTGTAAAGCTGCTGCCCAGTTGGGAGGGTGTGGAGCACATGACTGTAAAGCTGCCGCCCAGTTGGGTGGGTGTGGAGCACATGACTGTAAAGCTGCCGCCCAGTTGGGAGGGTGTGGAGTACATGACTGTAAAGCTGCTGCCCAGTTGGGTGGGTGTGGAGCACATGACTGTAAAGCTGCCGACCAGTTGGGTGGGTGTGGAGCACATGACTGTAAAGCTGCCGCCCAGTTAGGTGGGTGTGGAGCACATGACTGTAAAGCTGCCGCCCAGTTAGGTGGGTGTGGAGCACATGACTGTAAAGCTGCCGACCAGTTGGGTGGTATGGAGCACATGACTGTAAAGCTGTCGCCCAGTTGGGTGGGTGTGGAGCACATGACTGTAAAGCTGCCGACCAGTTGGGTGGTATGGAGCACGTGACTGTAAAGCTGCGTCCAGTTAGGTGGGTGTGGAGCACATGACTGTAAAGCTGCTGCCCAGTTGGATGGGTGTGGAGCACATGACTGTAAAGCTGCTGCCCAGTTGGATGGGTGTGGAGCACATAACTGTAAAGCTGCCGCCCAGTTGGGCGGGTGTGGAGCACATGACTGTAAAGCTGCCGCCCAGTTGGGTGGGCATGGAGCACATGACTGTAAAGCTGCCGCCCAGTTGGGTGGGTGTGGAGCACATGACTGTAAAGCTGCCGCCCAGTTGGGTGGGTATGAAGCACATGACTGTAAAGCTGCTGCCCAGTTGGGTGGGTGTGGAGCACATGACTGTAAAGCTGCTGCCCAGTTGGGTGGGTATGGATCACATGACTGTAAAGCTGCTGCCCAGTTGGGTGGGTGTGGAGCACATGACTGTAAAGCTGCTGCCCAGTTGGGTGGGTGTGGAGCACATGACTGTAAAGCTGCCGCCCAGTTGGGTGGGTGTGGAGCACATGACTGTAAAGCTGCCGCCCAGTTAGGTGGGTGTGGAGCACATGACTGTAAAGCTGCCGCCCAGTTGGGTGGGTGTGGAGCACATGACTGTAAAGCTGCCGCCCAGTTGGGTGGGTGTGGAGCACATGACTGTAAAGCTGCCGCCCAGTTAGGTGGGTGTGCAGCAAGACTAGTAACTGTGTGACTCACCATAGATGTAAAGTGCCTTGTATAGTGACTGTTGTGAGCCTCTTGTTGAATCACTTGTGATATAAAAGGATTATAAATGTAATAAGTTATTACGAAACGCATTCAAGCGTCGCGTCAGACTAGAAATAAAAATTAATTTTGGAGAATTGATTTTTCAATTACCGTCGACAGTAAAAAGAAACATAAGAAATATTGAGAAAATTCGTGTTAGAATTATTAATCTCACTTTTTCGGTCATATTTAACCGAAATTTATAAATATAAATATATATATAAATTCTTATTCTGTGTATGAAAATTACAGCATAACCTGCTGTAATATTTACTCATCTGTCAATATATTAACAAATTTATGAACATATTTGCACATTTACATAGTTTTCTTGGCCACAATGAACACGCTGATTAATACTAGTCTTTGTTACTTTAGTGACGCTGGTCTCATCAACAAGTACAAGATCCACAACAATTTCTGAAGCACCAGCAACTACAGGACTACCACCAACAACAATTACAGGACCACCACCAACAACTACAGAACCATCACCAACAACAACTACAAGACCACCACCAGCAACTACAGGACCACCACCACCACCACCACCACCAGCAACTACAGGACCACCACCACCACCACCACCAGCAACTACAGGACCGCCACCACCACCACCATCACCACCACCACCAGCAACTACAGGACCACCACCACCACCATCACCACCACCACCAGCAACTACAGGACCACCACCACCACCAGCAACTACAGGACCACCACCACCACCACCACCACCAGCAACTACAGGACCACCACCACCACCACCACCACCACCACCAGCAACTACAGGACCACCACCACCACCACCACCACCAGCAACTACAGGACCACCACCACCACCACCACCACCAGCAACTACAGGACCTCCAACACCACCACCACCAGTAACTACAGGACCACCACCACCACCACCACCAGCAACTACAGGACCACCACCACCACCACCACCACCAGCAACTACAGGACCTCCAACACCACCACCACCAGTAACTACAGGACCACCACCACCACCACCACCAGCAACTACAGGACCACCACCACCACCACCACCACCAGCAACTACAGGACCACTTCCACCACCACCACCACCACCACCACCACCACCAGCAACTACAGGACCACCACCACCACCACCACCACCACCAACTACAGGACCACCACCACCACCACCAGCAACTACAGGACCACCACCACCACCACCATCAGCAACTACAGGACCGCCACCACCACCAACAACAACAACTACAAGACCACCAACACCAACAAAAACCTCAAAACCACCACCTTCATCAACAACCACTGGACCACCACCATCAGTAACATCCTCGCAACCATCACGATCACGAACAACATCAAAACAACCACAACCAACAACATCAAAACAACCACAACCATCACCAACATCTATAGGAAGAAAATCAACCACCACCACAACAATGCAAACACAGGTTACTAATACAAATGCCACAGTGTCGAAAAGAACCTCCAGCACTAGAACTACATCGATCACCACAACCACCATACCAACAACTAACACCAAAAGTACTACTTCAACAACTACCACCACTAGTAGTACATTGACCACTACCACCACCAGCATTTCATCGACAACTTCAACCACCACTACTTCGACAACTACCAACACAACTACTACTTCGACTACAACCACCACCACCACAATAACAACTTCGACCACTAGTACCACACATAAAGCTTGTCATTTTATCAACAGTGACGAGCACCATATTATTCATGGTAAGAAAAGATGCACAACCAAATGTATTCCTAAAGAGATGGCAGCCATTAAATGTGGAAACAATTTTGATACATCTCCGTGTACACCAGGTTGTGTCTGCTGTACCAAGACACAACACAACACAACGATAACCTCTACCACAACAAGCCCAGAATCGACAACTATTATCTCTAGCACTTTATCCACCAGCACATCGACCACTACCACCACAACATCGACCACTTCCACCATTACATCGACCACTACCACCACTAGCACTACATCGACAACTGCCACCACAAGTACTACATCGATTACTACCACCCCCAGCACGACATCGACTACCACCAGCACGACATCGACTACCATCAGCACTACATCGACTACCACCAGCACTACATCGACCAGGAGAACCTCCAAGACATCATCGACCACTACACCAACTGGCAGTACATCGACCACTACAATCACAAGTACTACATCGACTAATACAACCACCAGCACTACATCGATCACCACAACCACCATACCAACAACTAACACCACAAGTACTACTTCAACAACTACCACCACAAGTACTACTTCAACAACTACCACCACTAGTAGTACATTGACCACTACCACCACCAGCATTTCATCGACAACTTCAACCACCACTACTTCGACAACTACCACCACAACTACTACTTCGACAACAACCACCACCACCACAATAACAACTTCGACCACTAGTACCACACATAAAGCTTGTCACTTTATCAACAGTGACGAGCACCATATTATTCATGGTAAGAAAAGATGCACAACCAAATGTATTCCTAAAGAGATGGCAGCCATTAAATGTGAAAACAATTTTGATTCATCTCCGTGTACACCAGGTTGTGTCTGCTGTACCAAGACACAACACAACACAACGATAATTTCTACCACAATAAGCCCAGATTCGCCAACTACTATCTCTAGCACTTTATCCACCAGCACATCGACCATTACCACCACAACATCGACCACTTCCACCATTACATCGACCACTGCCCCCACTAGCACTACATCGACAACTGCCACCACTAGTACTACATCGATTACTACCACACCCAGCACGACATCGACAACCACCAACACTACATCGACTACCACCAGCACTACATCGACTACCACCAGCACTACATCGACTACCACCAGCACTACATCGACCAGGAGAACCTCCAAGACATCATCGACCACTACACCAACTGGCAGTACATCGACCACTACAATCACTAGTACTACATCGACTAATACAACCACCAGCACTACATCGATCACCACAACCACCATACCAACAACCACCACCACAAGTACTACTTCAACAACTACCACCACTAGCAGTACATTGACCACTACCACCACCAGCATTTCATCGACAACTTCAACCACTACCACCACCAGCATTTCATCGACAACTTCAACCACTACCACCACCAGCATTTCATCGACAACTTCAACCACTACTACTTCGACAACTACCACCACAACTACTACTTCGACAACAACCACCACCACCCCAATACCTACTTCGACCACTAGTGCCACACATAAAACTTGTCACTTTATCGACAGTGACGAGCACCATTTTATTCATGGTAAGAAAAGATGCATAACCAAATGTATTCCTAAAGAGATGGCAGCCATTAAATGTGGAAACAATTTTGATACATCTCCGTGTACACCAGGATGTGTCTGCTGTACCAAGACACAACACATCACAACGATAACCTCTACCACAACAAGCCCAGAATCGACAACTACTACCTCTAGCACTTTATCCACGAGCACATCGACCACTACCACCACAACATCGACCACTTCCACCATTACATCGACCACTACCACCACCAGCACTACATCGACAACTGCCACCACTAGTACTACATCGATTACTACCACCCCCAGCACGACATCGACTAAAACCAGAACCACATCGACTACCACCAGCACTACATCGACCACCACCAGCACTACATCGACCAGGAGAACCTCCAAGACATCATCGACCACTACACCAACTGGCAGTACATCGACTACTACAATCACTAGTACTACATCGACTAATACAACCACCAGCACTACATCGATCACCACAACCACCATACCAACAACTAACACCACAAGTACTACTTCAACAACTACCACCACAAGCAGTACATTGACCACTACCACCACCAGCATATCATCGACAACTTCAACCACTTCCACCACCAGCATTTCATCGACAACTTCAACCACTACTACTTCGACAACTACCACCACAACTACTACTTCGACAACTACCACCACAATTACTACTTCGACAACTACCACCACGACCCCAATACCTACTTCAACCACTAGTGCCACACATAAAGCTTGTCACTTTATCAACAGTGACGAGCACCATTTTATTCATGGTAAGAAAAGATGCATAACCAAATGTATTCCTAAAGAGATGGCAGCCATTAAATGTGGAAACAATTTTGATACATCTCCGTGTACACCAGGTTGTGTCTGCTGTACCAAGACACAACACAACACAACGATAACCTCTACCACAACAAGCCCAGAATCGACAACTACTATCTCTAGCACTTTATCCACCAGCACATCGACCACTACCACCACAACATCGACCACTTCCACCATTACATCGACCACTGCCCCCACTAGCACTACATCGACAACTGCCACCACTAGTACTACATCGATTACTACCACCCCCAGCACGACATCGACAACCACCAACACTACATCGACTACCACCAGCACTACATCGACTACCACCAGCACTACATCGACTACCACCAGCACTACATCGACTACCACCAGCACTACATCGACCAAAGGAACCTCCAAGACATCATCGACCACTACACCAACTGGCAGTACATCGACCACTACAATCACTAGTACTACATCGACTAATACAACCACCAGCACTACATCGATCACCACAACCACCATACCAACAACTAACACCACAAGTACTACTTCAACAACTACCACCACTAGCAGTACATTGACCACTACCACCACCAGCATTTCATCGACAACTTCAACCACTACCACCACCAGCATTTCATCGACAACTTCAACCACTACTACTTCGACAACTACCACCACAACTACTACTTCGACAACAACCACCACCACCCCAATACCTACTTCGACCACTAGTGCCACACATAAAGCTTGTCACTTTATCGACAGTGACGAGCACCATTTTATTCATGGTAAGAAAAGATGCATAACCAAATGTATTCCTAAAGAGATGGCAGCCATTAAATGTGGAAACAATTTTGATACATCTCCGTGTACACCAGGTTGTGTCTGCTGTACCAAGACACAACACAACACAACGATAACCTCTACCACAACAAGCCCAGAATCGACAACTACTATCTCTAGCACTTTATCCACGAGCACATCGACCACTACCACCACAACATCGACCACTTCCACCATTACATCGACCACTACCACCACCAGCACTACATCGACAACTGCCACCACTAGTACTACATCGATTACTACCACCCCCAGCACGACATCGACAACCACCACTAAAACCACCAGCACTACATCGACTACCACCAGCACTACATCGACCACCACCAGCACTACATCGACCAGGAGAACCTCCAAGACATCATCGACCACTACACCAACTGGCAGTACATCGACCACTACAATCAGTAGTACTACATCGACTAATACAACCACCAGCACTACATCGATCACCACAACCACCATACCAACAACTAACACCACAAGTACTACTTCAACAACTACCACCACTAGCAGTACATTGACCACTACCACCACCAGCATATCATCGACAACTTCAACCACTACCACCACCAGCATTTCATCGACAACTTCAACCACTACTACTTCGACAACTACCACCACAACTACTACTTCGACAACTACCACCACAACTACTACTTCGACAACAACCACCACCACCCCAATACCTACTTCGACCACTAGTGCCACACATAAAGCTTGTCACTTTATCGACAGTGACGAGCACCATTTTATTCATGGTAAGAAAAGATGCATAACCAAATGTATTCCTAAAGAGATGGCAGCCATTAAATGTGGAAACAATTTTGATACATCTCCGTGTACACCAGGTTGTGTCTGCTGTACCAAGACACAACACAACACAACGATAACCTCTACCACAACAAGCCCAGAATCGACAACTACTATCTCTAGCACTTTATCCACCAGCACATCGACCACTACCACCACAACATCGACCACTTCCACCATTACATCGACCACTACCACCACCAGCACTACATCGACAACTGCCACCACTAGTACTACATCGATTACTACCACCCCCAGCACGACATCGACTAAAACCAGCACTACATCGACTACCACCAGCACTACATCGACCACCACCAGCACTACATCGACCAGGAGAACCTCCAAGACATCATCGACCACTACACCAACTGGCAGTACATCGACCACTACAATCACTAGTACTACATCGACTAATACAACCACCAGCACTACATCGATCACCACAACCACCATACCAACAACTAACACCACAAGTACTACTTCAACAACTACCACCACTAGCAGTACATTGACCACTACCACCACCAGCATATCATCGACAACTTCAACCACTACCACCACCAGCATTTCATCGACAACTTCAACCACTACTACTTCGACAACTACCACCACAACTACTACTTCGACAACTACCACCACAACTACTACTTCGACAACAACCACCACCACCCCAATACCTACTTCGACCACTAGTGCCACACATAAAGCTTGTCACTTTATCAACAGTGACGAGCACCATTTTATTCATGGTAAGAAAAGATGCATAACCAAATGTATTCCTAAAGAGATGGCAGCCATTAAATGTGGAAACAATTTTGATACATCTCCGTGTACACCAGGTTGTGTCTGCTGTACCAAGACACAACACAACACAACGATAACCTCTACCACAACAAGCCCAGAATCGACAACTACTATCTCTAGCACTTTATCCACCAGCACATCGACCACTACCACCACAACATCGACCACTTCCACCATTACATCGACCACTACCCCCACTAGCACTACATCGACAACTGCCACCACTAGTACTACATCGATTACTACCACCCCCAGCACGACATCGACAACCACCAACACTACATCGACTACCACCAGCACTACATCGACTACCACCAGCACTACATCGACTACCACCAGCACTACATCGACTACCACCAGCACTACATCGACTACCACCAGCACTACATCGACCAGGAGAACCTCCAAGACATCATCGACCACTACACCAACTGGCAGTACATCGACCACTACAATCACTAGTACTACATCGACTAATACAACCACCAGCACTACATCGATCACCACAACCACCATACCAACAACTAACACCACAAGTACTACTTCAACAACTACCACCACTAGCAGTA